TCTGACTGGCATGAGATGGTATCTTATTGTGGTTTTGATTTTCATTTTTCTAATGATCAGTGATGATGATCTTTATTTGATGTTTATTGCCACATCGATGTCTTCTTTGGGGAAGTGTCTGCTCATATCCTTTGTCACTTTTTGATGGGGTTGTTTGTTCTTTTCTTGTAAATTTGTTTAAGTTCTTTGCAGATTCTGGATATTAGACCTTTGTCAGATGAGTAGAATGCAAAAATTTTCTCCCCTTCTGTAGGTTGCCTGTTCACTCTGATGATAGTTTTTTGTTTGTTTGTTTGTTTCCTGCTGTGTAGAAGCTTTTTAGTTCAATTAGATTCCATTTGTCAGTTTGGCTTTTGTTGCAATTGTTTTTTGTGTTTTAGTCAGGAAGTCTTTGCCCGTGCCTATGCGCTGAATGGTATTGCCTAGGTTTTCTTCTAGGGTTTTTATGGTTTGGGGTTTTAAATTTAAGTCTTTAATCCATATTGAGTTCCATGATCTTTTTGGCATTAGGGGTACCAGGGGTTACTGTGTTCTGTGAGAAAGCCCTTGGCCAGTGTGTGCCCCATAGCTACTGGGTCACTGGCAAGGGAAGCAATTTGGAGGCATCTGAGAGCAGTTGCAGTACATGGTTGTTACTGCAGGGGGCTGTTCATTTCTTTGTGCATTTAGAGGGGGGAAAAAGCACAATTTAAACACTTTGAGGCTGTGGAAACATTTGCCTTCAAGGGCGATAAGACTCCCATTGGAGATAGGCTGATCAGAGAGTGAGCTGATGGATGTTGGATCACCCACTAGCATCAGGGAAATATCTTTTGTGATACACCATGGAAGCATTGCATGGTTCATCCTCTCTGTTTTTTTTTTTTTGAGACGGAGTTTTGCTCTTGTTACCCAGGCTGGAGTGCAATGGCGCGATCTCGGCTCACCACAATCTCCGCCTCCTGGGTTCAGGCAATTCTCCTGCCTCAACCTCCTGAGTAGCTGGAATTACAGGCATGCGCCACCATGCCCAGCTAATTTTTTGTATTTTTAGTAGAGACAGGGTTTCACCATGTTGACCAGGATGGTTTCGATCTCTTACCCTGGTGATTCACCCGCCTCGGCCTCCCAAAGTGCTGGGATTACAGGCATGAGCCACGGCGCCGGGCTGCATGGTCCATTCTCAAAGCATTTCCCTCTTTTTTGAGGACCTACACTGGGAAGAACATAGATATGATATACCTTTTCATGTGATGCACCTCATGAAACATTCTTGCCAAAGTAAGATTTAATCTAAATCTAACCAAACCTTTAAATCTAACTATTCTTTACCAGAAATGCAGGGAAAAGAAAAACAATTTAATTCTGTCAGTTAGAAGTGATCAGAAAAATCCAGAAGATGGTAAATCCTAAACTAAATAGACTGGCTTATGCTGACAAATTAATAGCATTTAAAAAAGAGGGAGGCTATCCTCGACACTTACGCACAGTAACCAAATGCAATGTATGAACTGTATGTGGAGGCTAATTTGAAGAACTTAGATATTTTTGACGTAATCAAGGAATTTTGAATATAGACTGGGTATTGGATAATATTGGGGAATAGCTGCTAATTTTTTAAGGGTAAAAAACTGTATTGTGAAGTAAAAATCTATTTTGTAGTATTTACAAGTAAAAGAGTGAGATATGTAGGTATTTCTTTAAAATATTTCAGCTTATTAAAAAATTAAGGGAGGTGAATGAAACAAGATTGGCAAAATATCATTGATTACTGAAGCAGGCTGTACATTGGCATTCATTACTATTATTTTTACATATGTTTGAAATGTTCTGTAGTAAATATTATTTTATAAATCTTACATAGAGTTTCCCAAGTGATGTGGGGTAATATCTGTGCTTCAGTGGAAAATTATGCATTACATAGACTCTAGATGGCACCTCTTGCATTACTGGATTCTCATTCTATCAAAGCTGTTTTACAATTCTATGATCTGTGGATAACTGATAGCAATGGCAAATAATTCTTGCCTGAGAACATGCTAATTCTGTCCTGCCTGGAGCTTTGATTGACCTCTCTCCCTCATTGTGAAAGAAGTTAGTTTTGCCTCCATTTGCACATTCCTTTCAACATCCTTTACTCCACGTAAATGTGTTTTTTTTCACTTCTTTGAACTTGCAATAACATCTGCCTACTTTCCTCCTTCCCAGTTGAATAAAATCTTTAACACATGTTCATTTTTATATATGTATAAGCGTCATAATTTTACGTTTCTTTGAAAATGTTATCTTTTAACAGTGACAAATATTTGTCTTTTCTGTGAAGCAGAAAGTAAAATAAATTGGTATACTTATGAATTATTATGTTAATAAATAAACGTTAAATAATTTCAGAGTAAATTGTAAGGTAGCTACGAAAGTCAACTAACTTTTCCTTTCAGTTTTGTTTCTATTTCCTCATACTATTAGTTCCAGAAACCCATATGGAATCTTTCAACCAGAGACCTGGATGCATTTTTGGTAAACACAGAGCTCACCAGAGTAAAATATGGGCATAGAATATTTGAAAACACGTCAAAACAAAAATTGAGTAACATCTTTTGAAAACTTATGCCAAGAATTCTAAATTTTTTGTATAAATCCAAGCTAACATTGTTGAAAGACAGAGGCACGATTTGTGTAATTTACTCCCAAAGTAATCAAATCAAGTTTTAGTGTAAAATTTTTACCTTACATGTCTGCTCCATCAATTCTTCAACTTTTTTCTCTCTTTCCCTTAATGGTGCAATCTTTTCTACCACTGGACTAACCGCCGAGATTGGCATTGCTTTCCACTTGAGTTACAGATGTCCACCTCTCCCACTGCCACCTCTCGGGTATTAAGGAGCCACCTCTCACTGCCCTCTGGGCTCCATGTTGGCTTCATTTTCATTGAGTTTAATGGCAGTCAATCAATCAATCAATATTGTTGATTTCTTAGAAGAGTTTCACAGATGCAGAAATAATAGATTTATCAGCTCTAAAAAGGGATACTACAGTGAAGGAAACCAAAAATATGCCACTGCACAATATACTCCTTTGGTTTATTTTGAGATGGCTATTCAGAGGAACTGTCAGCACAAGAATAGCCCTGAAATCCAAGGCAGTGTGGGTAGTGTTCCTCTGTGTTCTCACAGCACGGTCTGTCTCCACACTTGTTTTGTACACTTGTCACACTGACTTGTAAACCTTTATTCCAATAGCTTGTCTCACCCTGAATATAAGCCAAAGCTAGGGATCGTTTGTCCCATGTATAGTTGCTTTCTGATTGGATTGGGATTATTTATTTTAATGCTTCTCATCTTCCTTAGAATAGAAGCCAAAGCCCACAGCCCTCCAATCCCAGATACCCCTGGGCCAGCTCGCTCACCTCACTCAGGTGTTTATGCCAACGTCACTGTAGATGTTGCCCATGTTTTGGCTTTGCTTCCCCATAGCATCGACTGCCGTCTCTTAAATCATATTATTGACTGATTCATCTTGTTGATCGTCCATTCTCTCCCCCAAAAGAATGAAAACTCTTTGAAAGCAAGAGCTGTGTCTGTTGTGGTTACAGGAGTGCCCTCAGGACCTAGAACAGGGTCTGGACATGGTAACCACGCAATCGCACTTCTTTTAATGAATGAAATGGCAATCCCTTTCTCCACCCTCTGAGCTTCTTAAAAGCAAAGATTTGGTTTAATTAGTTTTTTTCCAAGTCCAGTGTTTACCTGGAGCATAGTATGCATTTAATAAGAAATGAGGGTGGGTGTGGTGGCTCACGCCTGTAATCCCAGCACTTTGGGAAGCTGAGGTGGGCGTATCACCTGAGATCAGCCTGACAAACATGGAGAAACCCTGTCTCTTAAAAAAAAAAAAGTTGAAAAAAGAAAAAGAAAGAAAGAAAGAAAGAAAAGAAATGGTTTCATGGCTTCTCTCTTGGGAAGATAAGTCAATTCTAGGCTAGTTCCAATATGTAGAAATAAAGAAAAGGACAATGGAACAGCTTTTCAAGTCCTCACATTATTTCCCTGCTTCATCTTCATTCTCATAGACACAATCATATAAGGGCTTTGGACTGTCCTTTTTAGCATTAGACATGCTTAAAGTTTAGTGGTGGTGGAGTGTACCAGAGTAAGTTTATCTTGTTAAAAATATTTGGAGGCCAGTCATGGTGGCTCAGGCCTGTAATCCCAACACTTTGGGAAGCCCAGGCAGGAGGATCACTTGAGCCCAGGAGTTGGAGGCTGCTGTGAGCCTTGATCAGACTGCTGCACTCCAGCCTGGGCAACAGTGAGACCCTGTCTCTAAATAAGTAAATAATAATTTAAGAAAATATATAAATATAAATATTGGTGTGTGGGGGTGCAGGGCACGCGCCAGTCATTTATTTGTGTCAGTAACGGGGGCTGGTGCCAGAATCTGAGTTTTCCCAGATCGGGAGGAGGGGAGGAGCGGTGAGGCTGCTAAGGAGGCGCTGTGGAATGGGTGTTTTTTAGAACGCAGACGGTAAACTAGTGCGAGACGGGCGGGGGGAGGGGGGCGGATCATCAGTCTGGAATAGGATGGAAGGAGAGGGCTCAGTAGCGCGTCTGCCAGAGGCAATTAAAGGGTCGTTCTAAGGCTCCTCTCAGCTCCCAGATCGCAAGAAGGAAGAAAGGATGGAAGGAAGAGAGAGGGAGGAAGGAAAGAGAAAAACAAGGTTCTCTCGCAGTGGGTAGAAAACATCCCAGCTAACTTTGACATCGTGCCCTCGGTGTTGAACACCAGCGGCTTCCCTCGCTGGGAAAAGGCGGGGGGTCCTAGCTAAAGCTGTAAACAGGTGGTTTGCACCCGTGGGGACACTATGCGGTTTCCTTTAAGAGGCAGCGCTGCCCGCCGCGGGCCGGGTGGGCGAGGCCCGAGGCCGCCCTGCCAGGCTGGAGGGTGGTTGTGCGCGGGGCAGCGGCCGCGGAGGCGGGGCCGGGGGTGGCGCGGGGCGCGCGCTTTTCCCGGGCGCCGGGGTAGCTGCGGCCGCAGCGGCGGCGGGCATGGCAGAGGCGCGGTCCCGGCCCTCGGCGGGGCAGCAGCTCAACGCGCTGCCGGACCACTCGCCGCTCCTGCAGCCCGGCCTGGCGGAGCTGCGGCGCCGGGCCCGGGAAACGGGCGTCCCGCTCGCGCCGCTGCCGCTCACCGACTCGTTCCTGCTGCGGTTCCTGCGCGCCCGGGATTTCGATCTGGACCTGGCCTGGCGGGTAAGCGTGCGTGCTCCGGGCGCTCGGCAGCGCGCACCCCAGTCCCCAGCCCCACGACCCGGATCCCGGACCCCTGCCGAAGCCCAAGGTGCAGGCAGGACCCTGGCGAGGAACGCGCCCCCAAGAACCCGGCGTGGGCGCTGTGGCTGCAGGTGTTCCGAGAATCCCTCCCGTTTCTCTAAAGTGTAGGAGCCTTGGGATAATGGCCCTTTTGATCTCAAGCATGAGAACTCCTGCCCTAGATGAGTCTCCTGAACTTGCAAAGTTTAGAGGAAATGCCTTCCTCTCCCTGGAGGAAAACCTGTGGTACAAAACAAAGTAACAGCTTAGAAGTTGGAAGCTCAGACTTGTCACATGTGACCAGATTAACTCCGTTTGGCGGGGAACATGAAATTGCTGGTAAAACTGGAGTTCTGAAGCCATGTAGTAGCAACATGGTATTATTAATAGTAATACTTAAGTGTCAAGACAGAAAAGCAACCCAGTATACTTGGAGTCCGGGGTGTAGTCGCGGCGGTTCTTTTGTGTTTCCAGGTACGTTACAGCCCTTTGAAAGAAGGGATGATGGAAAGATAGGAATCAGAAAGAGGGATGAGACCTTGAATTCTATCGCTTTAGGTTCAGCGCCCTTACCTGTTAAATAAAGATGGAAATACCTGCCTCACTGATTGGTTGGGAAGATTGAACATTAACCAGTTTAACAGAACAAGCTGTACCCAGCACAGTGCCTGGCACATAGTAAGCATTCAGCAGTTGGACCAGATCTAGCCCTTTCTCTAAGTGGTTTGCTCAGTGTCACACAGCTGCCTAGCAGGAAAGATACTATAATACAGAATTCCAGTGTGTCTCAGTGTGAAATTTTCGAGGGTTTCTCTTGTTTGTTTGTTTTAGAGTGAAAGCAAGTTTATTAAGAACGTAAAGAAACAAAAGAATGGCTACTCCGTAGAGGCAGAGCAGCCTGAGGTGGTTTTTAACTTAAGCAAAATTATGGTTAAAATAATCTAGATAACAACAAAATCCTTAAACGTGCAAAGTAAGTTTCTAACAATAACTTTCTTTTTTCTTTTATCTTTTTTTGTTTGTTTGTTTTTGAGACGGAGTTTCCCTCTTGTCACCCAGGCTGGAGTGCTGTGGCTAGATCTCGGCTCACTGCAACCTCCAAATCCCGGGTTCAAGTGCTTCTCTTGTCTTGGCCTCCTAAGTAGCTGAGATTACAGGTGTGCACCACCATGCCTGGCTAACTTTTGTGTATTTTTAGTAGAGACGGGGCTTCACCATGTTGATCAAGCTGATCTCGAACTCCCGACCTTGTGATCTACCCTCCTTGACCTCCTGAATTGCTGGGATTACAGGCTTGAGCCACGGTTCCCGGCCTCTAACAGTAACTTTGTAAGAGAAAAAAGCTCCCCACCCCAAACCTTAGTTTGTCAGTTACATACTCAGAGGCTGCTTACTGTTACTCATTTCTTGTTTATCTTTTTAGACAGTCTGTGCTTGCACAAGGATGTTTGTGTGTGATCTCTATTTTGCCTTTCTTACCTGTCTTTGGACTGGGAGCATCCCATATCAACTGGTATACATCTGTCTTACTCTTTATTGGGCTACTGTTCTACTGGATGGATATATTAGACTGTATTAAAATGTATCTAACCTAATACTGGACTTAGATCTTATTGCTGTTCATATCTTCATTCAACGATTATTTTTTGGACTCTACAGTTTACCTAGTTGTATACAAGATGCAGTCAACAAGGCGGCTGTGGTTTCTTCCCTCACTGACAGTGTTCTTCATATCCTCATACTTCGTGCATAACTAGGAATATAACCTTCTAGGATAAATTCAACCGGTGAAATTTCTGGATGAAGTTAGATGTGTACTTTTCAGTGTTGAAGAATATAACAAACTGTCATCCAAAGAGTTTTCAGTGTCTTCCAAAGGTTGCAGTAGCTCAGGCCTGCAATCCTAGCACTTTGTGAGGCTGACGAGGGCAGATCGATTGAGCTCAGGAGTTCATGATCAGCTTGTGCAATGTAGTGAAACCTCATCTCTAAAAAAAGTACAAAAATTAGCCGGGTGTGGTGGTACATGCATGTAATCCCAGCTACTCGGGAGGTTGAGATGAGAGGATTGCTTGAACCGAGGAGGCAGAGATTTAAGAGCCTCTGCTCTCAAATACACTGCAATTGTGCGTGATAGTGATTTGTGCCTCTTTAAAGAAGTCTTTTTTTTTTTTTTTTTGGTGGTTGTTGTTGTTGTTGTTGTTGTTTTTAGACGGAGTTTCACTCTTGTTACCCAGGCTGGAGTGCAATGGCGCGATCTCAGCTCACCGCAACCTCCGCCTCCTGGGTTCAGGCAATTCTCCTGCCTCAGCCTCCTGAGTAGCTGGGATTACAGGCACGCGCCACCATGCCCAGCTAATTTTTTGTATTTTATTAGAGATGGGGTTTCACCATGTTGACCAGGTTGGTCTCGATCTCTTGATCTCATGATCCACCTGCCTCGGCCTCCCAAAGTGCTGGGATTACAGGCTTGAGCCACCGTGCCCGGCCTTAAAGAAGTCATTTTTCAAGTGGGTGGATCCAGTTGGTTTATTCATGCTTTAATTTATTCTTTCTTTCTTTCTTTCTTTCTTTCTTTTTTTTTTTTTTCCAAGACGGAGTTTCACTCTTGTTACCCAGGCTGGAGTGCAATGACGCAATCTCGGCTCACCGCAACCTTCACCTCCTGGTTCAAGCAATTCTCCTGCCTCAGCCTCCCGAGTAGCTGGGACTACAAGCATGCGCCACCATGCCCAGCTAATTTTTGTAGTTTTAGTAGAGACGGAGTTTCACCATGTTGACCGGGATGGTCTCGATCTCTTGATCTCGTGATCCACCCGCCTCGGCCTCCCACAGTGCTGGGATTACAGGCGTGAGCCACCGCACCCGGCTAATTTATTCTTTCATTCAACAACCGTGTTGTTATCTCCTGGGTGTGCAGCACTCTGCAATAAGTAACTTGTCTGAAATTACGTAGCTATTAAGTGTTGAAGCAGGGGTTTGAGCTTGGGTGGGGCTCGGGAGAGAGCCTGCGCTCTGGAATACACTGCCCTTGCCTCTTCTGTTTCAAACAACAAACATGAAAAACAGCCAAGTATTCAATACTCTGTCTGAGATTGTGCCACTCACTGCATGCCAGCCTGGGCAACAGAGTGAGGCTCTCTCTCTCTCTCTCTCTCTCTCTCTCTAGATATATATATATATATACACACACATACATACAACACTCATCACTCTGATATGACATGATCTTGTCTTTTCCTCCATAACCCACACTGTATTATCAAATGTGATTTGTGTATCAACCTGCTAGAAGAGAAATAGTTTTTCATTATTATAATATGTATTTGTTTAATTACAAGTGTGATTAATAATCTTTTATATACAGTTAATATTTCAAAATTCCTTTACAGTTAACTGAAAATGGCCTTTGTTTTTGCTTTTGTGCATTTTTATGTTTTACTGAGTTATAAAAGATTTTTATGCATTTTAGGCCTTTTTTTATATTTTAGACCTTTGTCCTTGATTTTTGTCTGTTATAATATTAGCTATACTATTTTTTTCTGTGCAGAATTTTAAATTTTAATGTAATCAAATGTGTTGATTTTATTAGTCTTTGATTGCCTCTGGGTTTTACAAGGTCTTCTCTTATCCAGGATTTTTTCTAGTTGTTTATGCCTTCTCTTTTTTATGTTGGAGTCTTTGATCTATTGAGATTTGTTTTTATGTTAGGAGTGAATTAAATATCCAGCTTTATTTATTTTCATTATGTTACATGGCTATATATGTATCCCAATATCATAAGTAATAAACTAATATGTACTTAGTAACTACTGAATATAAAAACACAATCTCAGGTCCTATGAAGAATGAAGTTTAAATGAGGCATTAAACATATATATGTATAGAGGTAACTAACAATAAAACATGTTTTATTTACTGATTTTATTTTAACTGCTTTTAAGAAAGTAACATCTGGCCGGGCGCGGTGGCTCATGCCTGTAATCCCAGCACTTTGGGAGGCCAAGGAGGGCAGATCACCTGAGGTTGGGAGTTCAAGACCGGCCTGACCAACATGGAGAAACCCCGTCTCTACTAAAAATACAAAAATAGCCAGGCATGGTGGCACATGCCTGTAACCCCAGCTTCTCGGGAGGCTGAGACGGGAGAATGGCTTGAACCAGGGAGGTGGAGGTTGCAGTGAGCTGAGATCGTCCCATTGCACTTCAGCCTGGGCAACAAGAGTGAAACTCCATCTCAATAAATCAGTGACATCTAAATAGAAAAATAAAATTTACCCTCAGCCTCTGTGACATATATATATTTTTCTGTATTCCTTAAATAAGGAATTGTTGGGGCCGGGCGCGGTGGCTCAAGCCTGTAATCCCAGCACTTTGGGAGGCCGAGGCGGGTGGATCACGAGGTTGAGAGTTCGAGACCATCCTGGTTGACATGGTGAAACCCCGTCTCTACTAAAAATACAAAAAATCAGCTGGGCATGGTGGCGTGTGCTTGTAATCCCAGCTACTCAGGAGGCTGAGGCAGGAGAATTGCCTGAACCCAGAAGGCGGAGGTTGTGGTGAGCCGAGATCGCGCCATTGCACTCCAGCCTGGGTAACAAGAGCGAAACTCTGTCTCAAAAAAAAAAAAAAAAAAAAAAAAATAAGGAATTGTTTTCATTGCACCATGCCCTTGGGGAATTGACTAGCAGGACTGTGTCTAAATCCACCGGATAGAAATCAGGTTTCTGTCTGTGAACTCTACGTCTTGCTTTCCTGCCAACTGGAAAGGAAAAGGAAAGCATAGAGTGCAAAACTTGTTTTCATTCTCCTCTGCAACGGCACTTAATTCGGCTCTAACTTCTTCATTCATAATACGAAAGCCCTAGAGGTTTTGTTTAAAGGAAGCTTGATAATGACCTCAGTCACAATGAAATTTCTCATTATTCTAGATTTTGTATTTGAAGTTATAGTGAATTAATAAGGTGTTATCATATAATCCTAATAGCTAATGTGCTTTCAGAATACAAGGTACTTTGGTAAGTAGGGTTTCCATGAATTATCTTTTATTATTTTCTCATTTTAGAAGAAAAAGATATAAAGAGTAGGTAACTTGTCTGAAATTATGTGGCTATTAAATGCTGAAGCAGGGGTTTGAACTTGGGTGGGGCTCAGGAGAGAGCCTGTGTTCGCGAATACACTGCACTTGCCTCTTCTGTTTCAAACAACAAACACAGAAAACAGCTAAGCATTTACTTTTCTGTCTGTTCTACATATTCCCTTGAATTCCTTCTATCAAGTGATAGACCAGTTCCTTATACTTTTGTTCTATGTGATAAGCTTTTCATCCTTTAATTATCTTTACAGTTTTCCCAAAGCTTTCAGAATTCCTTAGATTCTCCCTGCTAATTTCTCTCTAAATGCAATTTCTTTTGTAAAATTGATCATATCATGTGTCCATTTTAGTTTCTACTCTGCTCCTGATAGTTATAGCTCTTGAACAAATGTGCAATTTCTCAGAGCTTTACTTTTCTTATCCTTATAATGCCGTAACAGTAGCTCCTTCTCATGGTGGTTGTGAGGAGGAATTCAAATGATAGCATTAGACCCTATAAAAGTGCTACAAATATGGTGTTTCTTATTTTTTTTCAAAGTACATGAAACATGTTAAGAAGAAACCTACTCTATTTCGAAACATAGTTAACCCATAACATGTTAAATGTTTATTTACTTCTAATGTTTGCAAAGCAGACACCTTCCAATAATGAATATTTATTTTTCACCACTTTTTTATTGTTATTATGGACATAGGATGGTTTGCTTGAGAATTGCTCAGTAGCAGTTTATTTACATAATTTATTTAGAAAATTGTACTATGAATCTATGTATCAGTGGGAAAGTAATGACCAAAGATCCAGGTTTAGATCTCTTAGTTTGCAAAAATTGTGCACGATAGTGATTTGTACCTCTTTACAGAAGTCATTTTTTCAAGTGTGTGGATCCAGTTGGTTTATTCATGCCTTAATTTATTCTTTCATTCAACACGTGCTGTCATCTCCCGGGCTTGCAGCACGCTGCAGAGATGAATAAGCTGAGCACCCTGCCACTATTACCTAAATGATCGCTTGTAATGAAGCCACTACTTCTAGCATTCCACAGGAAAAAAAAAAGATTATTTCTATATAGTTACTAATATGCTGCTTCCAGCATTTTACTTGAATTGGAATAAAAAAGACTTTTTGTGTCTGAGGAAACTATCAGAAAAGTAAAAAGCATTGTACGATACTATTAACAGTTATTCTGGTACCCCTACGACTGGAGGAGGAAGACAAATTCACCTTAGAGAGTACAATGAAGATACTAGGATCCACAATGTGCTTGTTGTTCTCATTGCTTTTGAAAACTGCTATATAGGTCACCAATTATTTCTTTGTTGGAAAATTGACTTTTTTCTTTCTTCTCTCTTGCATTTAACTCTTAGCAACGTTCTCTCTCTTTTTCAAATTAAGAAAGATTTATTAAATACAGAAATGAAAGCGAGGGAGACAGAGAGGGAAAGAGGGAGATAAATCAGAAATGGAGGTGGGGGAGCAGAGCAGCACAGAGCTGGTTCTCTTGAGGTCCACTCTGTTTCTCTCTTCTTCCAGCCATTCCCAGCCATTGACATTATCCAAGGCTCAGCATCTCCCTCTCTAGTTTTTGTCGTTTGTAGTTTCTCCTCCAGATCATTGCTGTTTTTGAGGTTTTAGTTACTTTGTTTATTCCAATGACTCTCAAATATAAAATCTGTCTTTTTCTCTGCACTGCAGTCTCACATTGTTAATAGGTCTCTTTAAACTCAAATCAAATATATTGTCACTTGTGAAAAATTGAGAGTGCCAAAAATCATAAAAAGGAAAATTAAAATAGAAACATAATGCTTTTTAAATACATAATTTGCTTTACTATTTTCCACAATATGCTGACAGTGTTTATATTATTGGCACATGTGATTAGCCATTTCTGGTGGTTCTTTTGGAAGGAAAGAAAGTAGGACCCTTTCAAACCCTATTTTGACAAGATCCAATATCCAAGTATTGCTTCTGGGCTCTTCTGACTCATTTGATTAATTTCCATACTTCCTTATTTCAAAAAATGCTAAAGGTGATGTTTTTATTCTCCATTGCTGAGTGACAAGTCACTCCAAGAATTAGTGGCCTAAAACACAATGATTTGTTTTTGAATCATCAGTTTAGGCAGGGCTCAGTGGGAGCGGTTCATCTCTGTTCCACATGGCATTAGATGGGAACTTGGCTGAGGCGACACTATTGAGGATGGCCTCTTAACCTCCAGGCCTCTCTCCACATGAATTGCTATCATTCAGTGACCTCACTGGATCCCAAACAGTAAATTCAGAAGGTACCAGGTCTTTTAAAGTTTGGTCCACCCAGTGTTACTTCTGCCACATGATATTAGATTAAAGCAAGTTGGAAGGCCAGCCTAAATTCAAGGGGAGGGAAGAAAATAGATGCCACGTCTTACTAGGAAGAATGGTGAATGTATATCAGAAGGGGAGGTATTGGTGGCTGTCTTTGGAGAGCATCTACCATGGGTGGTGGATGAAAATGGCTCATCCCTGAATTTGTGATTAACCCCTGTCACCTCCAATCCTTGATAAAGGGAACTTTCAGTTTTCATAGCTAAAAAGATACCCCAGATTAAACTCTTGACCTAATGGATGTCAAGGTTTATACACAATGCCAAAGCTTTCCTTCCATTTTTACAAATTTATTACCATGTAAGCCATTTGTAGACAATTTTAATTTTATTTTTCAGTTACTAAAAAACTATTATAAGTGGAGAGCAGAATGTCCAGAAATAAGTGCAGATCTACACCCTAGAAGTATTATTGGCCTTCTAAAGGCTGGCTACCATGGAGTCCTGAGATCCAGGGATCCCACCGGCAGCAAAGTTCTTATTTACAGAATCGGTAAGTCACACACAGCTCTCCTTTTTTTCTCATCTCTTCCACTTCAGTTATGTTCTCTCTCCTGTTCCCTCTTTCTTCCATTTTTTCCTTGAATACCACATAGAAAGCTTCAATACATTCATCTTTAGGAATTTGGGCTTTAATTTAAAATTTTAGGTTTTAACTTAGGTTTAATTTGGGTCTTAATGTCCCTGAAATATAATAATACTTTGTCAGTTGTGAGAAAATAAACAGATATAAGTGAAAATCCTAGTTTCATTCTTCCACACAGTCAACTATACAAGATAAGAAGAAAGGAAAATGGTGAAGATAAATAGTATGTGAATATTTAAAAAAAATCATGGAAAAGTGTTTCAAAAATGCTTTGTAGGAAGTACAAATAAGAATTCTGAACTCTTGGCCCGGTATGGTGGCTCACGCCTGTAATCTCAGTACTTTGGGAGGCTGAAGAATGGATCACCTGAGGTCAGGAGTTCAAGACCAGCCTGGCCAACATGGTGAAAGCCCATCTCTAGTAAAAATACAAAAATTAGCTGGGCGTAGTGGTGCATGGCTGTATCTCAGCTACTAGGGAGGCTGAGGCAGGAGAATCACGTGAACCTGGGAGGCGGAGGTTGCAGTGAGCCGAAATTGCACCTTTACACTCCAGCCTGGGCAAAAGAGCAACAGTTTGTCTCAAAAAAAAAAAAAAAAAAAAAAAAAAAATAGAATCTGGACTATAGTGATGTAAACACCATGAGATTGTGGATTTTACCTGTTCTCTTTACTGGTGTATTGCAAGCACTGAAAACACGGCCTGCGACTTGGTAGTCACTAAATATTTGTGGAATGAGTGAGTGAATGACTAGTTCGAAAATGCCCCAGGTCGAGGAACAAGAGGCTCATTCCCTTGGGTGGAGGAGGCTGCGGAGGAAAGGCAACTCCCCTGGAAGCTGTTGCAGACACTGTATTCCATTAACTCCTGTTTCTTCTCACTGCATCTTCTTTTTATCTATTAGAGGTTGCTAGTGTTTCTTGTAGATGTCTTAGTCTATTCAGGCCATTATAACAAAATGCCATAGACTGGGTGGTTTATAAAAAACAGAAGTTTTTTTTTTCTCACAGTTCTGGAGGCTGGGAAGTCCAAGATTAAGACAATGGCAGGTTTGGTGTCTATTGAGGGCCTGCTACCTGGTTCCTAGGTGACATCTCTCACTTTAACCTCACATGTTGAAAGGGAAAAGGGGTCTCTCTTGGGACTCATAAGGGCACTAATCCCATTTGTGAGGGTTCCATCCTTATGACCTCATAATCTTGCAAAGGCCCCACCTCTTACTACCATCACTTTGGGAGTTAGAATTTTAGCATATGACTGTTGAGGGCATGGAAACACTCAGAGAATTGCAGTTGGTGACCTATAACGTCTGCCTTCCTCAGACCTTCGTATGATTAAAAATGGCAGGCACAGAAGAAGAATTCACACTATTCCCAGAATCTCTCATGACCCAGTTGGAAGGACAAAGAGAAACCAACATTCTATGCACAGAATTTTTGAATTACAATCTTACAGAAACCTCTACATCTTTAAAGATGTAAAATATTTACATGTTTGCATTTCTTGCCTGTTTATAGATAAGATACCTGCCTGTAACTCATCTGCTTGCTATATTGCAAGAAGATACTGTGTTTAATTTTTGAAAGGATATTGGAAGATAGAGTAAAATGATTTGAGTTTTTTCCCCCCTAGCTTAAGTGGCAAATAAAATTGAGTTAATCATGAAATCCCATCTATAAAACAGATGTCACTATCTTTCTGTTCTTTCATTGCTGCACCAGTGAGGAAGTTGAATGAGCTCATAGCAATGAAGTTCCTTGAGCTTCTTAGGGTTAGGCTTGCCAGATTTAACAAAGTACTAATGTCTTATTTAGGAAATAAACGTATATGCTATTAAAATAAAGGATGCCTAGTTACATTTCAATTTCAGATGAACAAATAGTTTTTTAAAGTATGTATAGGGCATTCTTATGTTAAAAATTAATATCCTGGTTATCTGAAATTCAACCTTATTTGGGTGTCATATATTTTACCTGACAACTCTACTCAGGGGTCCAAGAAGCATAAAACTGAAACCTTCAGCCAATTCTTTCTGTAAATGTCTTGGCTTTGCATTGCCTGGCTAGATTTTATTGTTTCTAGTTTGTTCATAAACTGACTGAGCCAGGTGGAGTAATAAAAGTGACACCTTGATAGTGAGAAGTAGATATGCAGCTTTGATCATAAATACCTTAACACTGAACCAGTAGGGATATTTTCTGGGCCTCATGCAGTACATTAATTTAGAAGTACATTGTTTAACTCAAGAGATCTGAAAATCCAGAAAACATGTAGTTTAGTGATAGTCTCAAACAGGAAAACATGTTGCAAATCTCCTGTATGTTATGTTATTCTGGGATGAAAGGAAGAAACTCAGAAAGTTTTATGAGTAAAATGAAAACTTTTCTAAATTTAATCGAATTAATGGGAGGAGCTAAAGAAGGAAATCTGTGGTGGAGCTTTTTGGTAGAACTTTAGCATAACCATCTCTGTGCAGTAAAAGCAATGAGAAAATGCACATAGCCTTTTCCTCCATGTGGGTTGGGCAACTCAAGGTGAAGGTAAGTTTTGACCTTTATCAGCCAAAAGGCTAGAGGATATAATTTTATGTCTTTTGAGATCCCCTAGTATATTACAGCAGCAAAAGTAAAATTTAAGAGTGAGTGTGAAGTTTTGACTGTGGCTTAGCACTTGTGAATACAGGTTCTGGAGCATGTGGCCTGGACTGGAATCTCAACTCTGCTACATTCTAGCTGTGTGAAACACTATGTAGCTATAATTGCATTTTCTCATCTGTAAAATGGGCATGGTGAAACGCTATCATGTAGGATTGCTGTAAGCATTAAGTCAATCAATCGGTTTGCCTATCTAAAATATAATAAGAGCATTACCCGGTACATAGAAGCACTTGGTGAATGTTAAGTAGATACTAGAGAAGGAATTAAAAATATAAAGTATATTTTTCTTTTGCCTCAATGGAGCTTAAATTCTAGCCAGCACTATTCAATAGAACTTTCTATGATGATGAAACTGTTCTACAATGGCCACTAGCTTTATGTGACTATTGAGCACTTGAAATGTGACTACTGCAACTAAGAAACATAATTTTTTTTTTTTTTTTTTAAGTTAGGGTCTTGCTCTGCCACCTAGGCTGGAGTGCAGAGGCACAATCATAGCTGACTGCAGTCTTGAACTTCTGGGCTCAAGTGATCCTCCTGCCTTGGCTTCTGGAGTAGCTGGAACAAGAGGCATGTGCTACCATACCCAGCCAGATTTTTAAATTTTTATATTTTAGAGATGGGGTCTCACTGTGTTGCCTGAGAAGGTCTCACTCTTGGCCTCAAGCAGTCCTCCCAACTCAGACTCAAAAAGTGCTGGGATTATAGGCATGAACCACTGCACTCAGTGAAACTGAATTTTAAATTTGAATGGCCACACATGGCTAATGGCTATCATATTAGACAGTATAGGTCAAACAATTATGTTGGTTGGCTCAGAAATTAGGTCATTAACTATTTTTTTAATTGTCAAACTTCATTTGTTCTGCTGGTTTTTAAATCATTATAGTATTCAGCCAATGTCTGAAGTTAGTATTTTTTTTTATCTAGGTTATTCATGGGTTGATTATTCACATTCTTATGAGAAGTCTGAGGCTTTTTTTTTTGGAGGCAGAGTTTTGTTCTGTTGCCCAGGCTAGAGAGCAGTGGTACCATCTTGGCTCGCTGCAACCTCTGCCTCCTGGGTTCAAGTGATTCTCCTACCTCAGCTTCCTGAGTAGCTGGGACTACAGGCATGTGTCAATACGCCCAGCTACTTTTTGTATTTTTAGTAGAGACGAGGTTTCACCACGTTGGCCAGGCTGGTCTCGAACATGTGGTTTCAAGCGATCTGCCCACTTTGGCCTCCCAAAGTGCTGGGATTACAGGCATGAGCCACCACACCCAGCCAGAAAGCTGAGGCTTTTAAAAAACAATAACATACCCTCTAAAGGATCCATCAGTATGAAAGAAAAAAAAAATGGCAATCCCATTGTGCCTTCTTAGAAATATTTCTGTTTCTTCTTTCTTTTTCTAGATCTTCAGCTTTTCCCTTGCTACGACATGCTACCAGTTAACATTTAAATCTATTAAGGGCTAGCCACCAAAAACAAAACAAAAACTCTTCCTTGGTTCCACAAAACACTCCATCCTCCGTTACATCAATCTCCCCTCTCTTCTCATTCCCAGCCAGACTCCTTTTGTTAGTGATGACCACCATCCACATTTGCTCACAGTTCCTCCTCATCCCACCCTGGTCTTATTTCACTCCCATCTCTGCTGAAATGAACGTAACCAACTTTCTTTTCACCACATCTAATGGATATGTTTCGTCCTATTTCACCTAACTTCTCAACACAGTGAACCACTTTCCTCTTTCTCAAAAAAATCCTCCTCCCTTGGCTTCTCTGATGCCACGTTCTCCTGCTGTTTTCCTCTGACATCACTGGCTGCTCCTCCTTAATCTCTTTTTCTGGCATCTCCTCTTCTAATCATCCTTTAAACTCGGAAATCTTGGGACACTGGCCTCAGCCTCCTCTTTTTATGCTACTTTATCTCTCTGCTTTGATAGAGAAAAACATAGCTCTGAGACAGTCCCTGCTGTGGATCGTCATGTAAGCACAGACAATCCCCAGATTCGTATCTTCACTCCTATCTTTTCCTTGAGGATCCAGACCCACACAATTAGCTCCTATTCCGGCTGCACCCAGTTAGATGTCTCACAGTCACCATTTTAACATGTCCACACTTATGACCTTTTCCACCCAATACTCGTCTCTTACCTCAGTAAATAGTAAAACATGTGCACCATGGAATTGTACACAGCCATAAAACAAATGAAATTTCGTCCTTTGCAGTAACATGGATACAGCTGGAGGCTATTATCTTAAGTGATTTAAGACAGGAACAGAAAACCAAAAACCACACATTATCACTTCTAAGTAGGAGCTAAACACTGGGTGTTTATGGCATAACGATGGGAACAGTAGATACTGGAGATGACTAGAGAGGAGAGGGAGGGAGGGGTGTAAGGGTCAAAAAACTAGCTGTTGGACGCTATGCTCACATACCTGGGTGGCAGGATCCTTTATACCTGAAACCTCAGCATAATGCAGGTAACGAACCTGCACATGCACCCCTGAATCTAAAAGCAGAAAATAAATAAATAAATGGTGCTACCATTCTATCCAGTTCCCCATGCCAGAAACTTTGATTTTTTTGTTTCTGTTTTTGAAAACTTACTAATACTTAGTTATGAATCTTTTTTCTTTTTCTTTTTCATTCATCCTGTTAGGCACTTCAATCTGAAGACTTACATGTTTTTTCAGCTTTGGAGAACTTTTCTCTATTGCTACAATTCCTCTCTGCTCTGTTCTCTGTCACTGCCTTCTAGAACTTTTGTCAGTTGGATATTGAAACTCCTGGATCCAGCTGCATTTGTTTCTTAACTTTTTATTCATATGTGTTAACTCTTGGCTCTTTTGTGCCAAATTTGAGGGAATTCTTCCACACGATCTTCCAAACCATTATTCCCTGATTGGCTCTGTCTTTTCTAGCATTTATTCCATCAATTTTTTTTTTTTTTTTTTTTTTTTTTTTTTTTTTTTTGAAACGGAGTTTCGCTCTTGTTACCCAGGCTGGAGTGCAATGGCGCGATCTCGGCTCACCGCAACCTCCGCCTCCTGGGTTCAGGCAATTCTCCTGCCTCAGCCTCTTGAGTAGCTGGGATTACAGGCACGTGCCACCATGCCCAGCTAATTTTTTTGTGTTTTTAGTAGAGACGGGGTTTCACCATGTTGACCAGGATGGTCTCGATCTCTTGACCTCGTGATCCACCCACCTCGGCCTCCCAAAGTGCTGGGATTACAGGCTTGAGCCACCGCGCCCGGCAAATTTTTTGTTTTTAATTACCTTTTTATTTCTAAGATTTCAACTGATTATTTTTAATAATAGCCTTTTCTTATAATAATGGCCTACAGTATTCTCTCCATGCCCTGCTGGAATTATGCTTCTTTAAAAAAAGTTCTTTAAATTATTTTTTACAGACAGGTTCTTGCTATGTTGCCCTGATTGGACCCGAACTCCTTGGATTCTGTGTCCCCCTTGTCCCCACTTCAGCCTCCCGAGTAGCTGGAATCACAGGAACCTACCACTGCACCTGCACCTGACTTCTATTATGTTATTTTGGTGTCTCCTGCTTTCTTATTGTCTGAAGTTGTTGCCTTTGTCTATTGAGTTTTGTTTCCCTCTCTCTGTGTATGTGTGTGTTTAACATTATAATTCCTAAGAAATAGATGTCCTTTAAAAAAGATTATCTGGGCTGGGCGCGGTGGCTCACGCCTGTAATCCCAGCACTTTGGGAGGCCGAGGCGGGTGGATCACGAGGTCAAGAGATCGAGACCATCCTGGTCAACATGGTGAAACCCCGTCTCTACTAAAAATACAAAAAATTAGCTGGGCATGGTGGCGCCTGCCTGTAATCCCAGCTACTCAGGAGGCTGAGGCAGGAGAATTGCCTGAACCCGGGACGCGGAGGTTGCGGTGAGCCGAGATCGCGCCATTGCACTCCAGCCTGGGTAACAAGAGCGAAACTCCGTCTCAAAAAAAAAATCATCTGCTTGTCCATCCATGACTGTCATTTCTGCATGGCCTGGCCTGTCGCAGGGATGGTGGGGAGGGGTGAGAGGAGTGGACAAGAATCTCAGTAACTCCTCTCTTAGCACAGGTATTCTGTTTTTCTTTGGTGTGGGCAGCTATCTCAGTGCTTCTCTGGCTCTTCTTTCCCAAGCCCTCACTTCTGTTCTAGCCTGCAGGGACATGCGTCTGCTATGTGCTACTTACCATTGGAAGGCTGTTGAAGAATCAACTTGCCTATCTGTTCCTCACAGATTTCCCTTAGCAACTTCTTTTGTTACTATGGGGTCTTAATTACTCCTTATAATCCAGGCCCTTGCTTTTCCCATTTCCAACACCTCTGAGTTTGGAGCATACACAATGGCATTCCCATCTTTATGTGAAGTTGTGACTTCATCTTGCAATCAAATTCAGCCTGCATCCAATCCTTTCTTCCCCATACTCTTAAAAAGCCATTCTAAGCCGGGCGCGGTGGCTCAAGCCTGTAATCCCAGCACTTTGGGAGGCCGAGGCGGGTGGATCACAAGGTTGAGAGATCGAGACCAACCTGGTCAACATGGTGAAACCCCGTCTCTACTAAAAATACAAAAAATTAGCTGGGCATGGTGACACATGCCTGTAATCCCAGCTACTCAGGAAGCTGAGGCAGGAGAATTGCCTGAACCCAGGAGGCGGAAGTTGCGGTGAGCCGAGATCGCGCCATTGCACTCCAGCCTGGGTAACAAGAGCGAAACTCCGTCTCAAAAAATAAAATAAAATAAAATAAAATAAAATAAAATAAAAAATAAAAGCCATTCTTTGCTAGGAATTTGAGGAGGGAGGGAGAAGCAGGAACGTGCTCTTGGACCCCAGTTGGATTATTCAATTCGTGATCTTCATACATGTTTCTATTTCAACTGATCTTTTAAGTCTAAAATGTATTAGTCTCCCTTTGGAAATCTGTCTAATTTTCTACACAATGCTAAGATATGATATGCTTTATTTTTTTTTAGCACACTGGGACCCCAAAGTTTTTACAGCTTATGATGTATTTCGAGTAAGTCTAATCACATCCGAGCTTATTGTACAGGAGGTAGAAACTCAGCGGAATGGAATCAAGGCTATCTTTGATCTGGAAGGCTGGCAGTTTTCTCATGCTTTTCAAATCACTCCATCTGTAGCCAAGAAGATTGCTGCTGTACTTACGGTAAATGTATATTTTAACTGTCAGGCATAATACTTCCAAATTACAGTTTTAAATTTTTGTTATATGTTACACAAAAAGGAGCAAAAGTACATTTATTAGAAATTAAAATTCAATTTTGGAAATGATATGTAGAATTCAATAATGCTAAGAGGAAGTAGAGTATTACTAGTTTATAAAAGAAAAATGTTGCAACAAACTGCAAAAATATGTTCAAATTAGTAACGAGAAGATTTATGCATCTTTACAATATGTGGTGACTTTATATTTTTGTCATTAAAAACTTTTTTTCTGAATTAAAAAATTGATTTAAAAATATGTAGCAATGGCACAATAAAATGTCACATAATTTTTTGTAGGTGTATATTGAAACTTTTTTTCATAAATCAAAAGATTTTTAAAGTGATCATCATCTTTGACCCAGTAATTCTATTTCTGGGAAACTAGCTAAGGAATAATCTTTAATATATTAAAGATTGCACATACTAAGAATAGTTTACTATGTGCCAGGTACTTTGCTAAATGTTTCAAATGCATTAAGTTTTAATGTCCACACTGAACCTATGACATATGACTATTGCATTTTCCCACTTTACAATTAATAAACTATATGCAAGAAGTGACATAGCAATGCCCAGGTACACACAGTTTGTCAGTAGTGAAGTGAGAATTCCAGCCCAGGTCACCCGAATGTAAAATTTGTGCTTATAACCACCACTCCTCCTATACATAAAGACAGTTACTGCACCATCAATTTCAGTAAAAAAAAAAAAAAAAAAGAAATGGTTTATTAGTCCAGAAGATAGAAAAATGGTTACTTAAGCAATGGGACATTCATTTGATGGATTCTTGCAACAATAATAAAACATGTTATTTGCAAAAACTGTGTTATATCAGTGGAACACAACAGAATGAAAATTATTTAGACAGGCCGGGTGCGGTGGCTCAGGCCTGTAATCCCAGCACTTTGGGAGGCCGAGGCAGGTGGATCACGAGGTCAAGAGATCGAGACCATTCTGGTCAACATGGTGAAACCCTTTCGCTACTAAAAATACAAAAATTAGCTGGGTATGGTGGCGCACACCTGTAGTCCCAGCTACTTGGGAGGCTGAGGCAGGAGAATTGCTTGAACCCAGGAGGCAGAGGTTGCGGTGAGCCGAGATCGCGCCATTGCACTCCAGCCTGGGTAACATGAGCGAAACTCCGTCTCAAAAAAAAAAAAGAGAAAGAAAATTATTTAGACAGTACATTAGCAATTATGTTTAAAAGAAAATTATGAATAGAAGGGACCTGGAAAGACAATTCCCAGATTAATAATACATCTCTGAAAGTGATGCATGGGAACAATAAAATAACTTCACATAAAAGAACCTTGGAATGAAAGGTCTCTGTATTAATAATACAACTTTTAGGTAGGAAAACTATTTTTTTCTTCAACTCTTAAGTTTTTAAACTTTCTGAATAAGCCTATATTACTATGATGCTAAAGACATATACCAGTGTCAAAGTTTATAAGTGTGTGTTCATTGTGCTAGTCTTTCAATATTTGTGGATTTTTTTCTCAAAATAAACATTTTTGGGAAACAACTTTAATATAAATTTACAAATGACTCATTGGTTCGTTAGAACATCTGTATGTGATTGGGAAAGGATTTTCTGGTGAAAGTGTGCAGATATTTCATAAAATACTTTGCCTAATCTGTAAGAATAAACCTTTTTAGAGATCTTTTCTTAACCTAGTGATAGTGAACTGTAAGCTAGGCTTTTGTGTTGATGGAATAAATAATTTTGAAGATAAAATCACACTTTAGCTACTTTGGTAAGTTTAGCAAGTGTTCAAAGAAGAGACTTGTCATTAGGTACAGAACTGTAATATTTGTGTTTTGTTATTAAGTTTTTTTTTTAATTTTCAAAAGGATTCATTTCCATTGAAAGTTCGTGGCATCCATTTGATAAATGAACCAGTAATTTTCCATGCTGTCTTTTCCATGATCAAACCATTCCTCACTGAAAAAATTAAGGAACGGGTAAGTAAAACATACGCAAGGCTGTGTTCCTCTACACCAGACATTCCTACCCTTTTTTATTTAAGGATTGTTTTATCATCTTTCCTTGTAGCTGCCCATCTATATCATTAGCCCAATATTTTGAATATTTATCTAACAAGTCAACTACTTTTCTAAATTAAAATTTACTTTTAATTTAGAAAAATCAAGTATATTGGTTGTAAGTCTGTGGGGTAACTGGGCTTTTCATACATTGCTGGTTGGAATGCATAATGGTATATTCCCATAGAGGGCAGTGTGGCAGTCATCAAAATCACCATCTTGAATTACCTGTAGATAAACAAAATTATATAAACTAGAGGAGCCACTGCAGCAGAAGACTGAAAATCAGTAAGTATTCACCATTAGGGCATTGGTTAAATAAACATCTACACAACAGAAAACAACAAGATTGCAGGATGTTTTGTGAACTGAAACTGAAATAAACAAATGTGGAATAAAGTGTACGGCATGCTACCTTTTGTATACAAAGGGGATAAATAAGAATATATTTCATAAATTTACATTAAAATATATACAAAAAATAATATAAGCAGATGTCTATAGGGAACAAGAGAAGAGGTGTGAACTACAGTAGGTGAGAACAGGTTTGGGAGCAAGCTCTCTTACTGCATATCTTTTATCTTGCTTTGATTTGTAACCATGTGAATTTACTATTAATGTAAATAAAAATAAACATTTTTCTTTTTTTTTTTTTTTTTTTTTTTTTTTTTTTTTTTTTTGAGACGGAGTTTCGCTCTTGTTACCCAGGCTGGAGTGCAATGGCGCGATCTCGGCTCACCGCAACCTCTGCCTCCTGGGTTCAGGCAATTCTCCTGCCTCAGCCTCCTGAGTGGCTGGGATTACAGGCACGTGCCACCATGCCCGGCTAATTTTTTGTATTTTTAGTAGAGACGGGGTTTCACCATGTTGACCAGGATGGTCTCGATCTCTCGACCTCGTGATCCACCCGCCTCGGCCTCCCAAAGTGCTGGGATTACAGGCTTGAGCCACCGCGCCCGGCACATTTTTCTTAAAAAGCAAAACATAATTAACACTTTCAGTATAACTGAAAACCACAGTAACTGAGGTATGTGACTTAATGTCACGCTAGTTAGAGCAAAGACACTGACTTTTCTTTTTTAACCTACCCTATGGAGCCTCATCTCAGAAAAAAACATCTCATATCTCTTAGAGTTTTTGAAAGGTTGAAAATAGAGTCTGCATTCTCAAGAATGGTAACCATTCTTCTAAATTAATATGTGAAGGAGAATTTTTAGAGCATCTATTTAGACAAACATTGGCATCATCTAATGCCTTGAACACAAAACAATTTGTAAGGGCTTTAACAATTTAAATCTAAAAAATTCTTGAAATGTCAACAGTGATAATATGAACTGTAATAGCACATTTAGAATTTTAGGAACAACATTCTTTCTTATTAAGGAAATGTAACACACCTGGTCAGAAAGTTATGACCCTCAAGCTTCTTTAGAAGTTATCCAGTGAATATTTCTGTTTGTCTTCAAGAACCTCCCTTAAATTGTCTGCTTTAGCAAAAGTGGACACTTTCAGCTACTGTTTATTCTAGTATTTTTAAACAAGTCAATTTTTTTTGTTTATTTTTTTCTCTCTTCAGTGTAACTTGATAATAAATAGTTGACTATCTTCTGTTTAACGCCTAAAGATATAAAAATAAGTATTCCTGTTTTGGGCTAAATTTTAGACAAAAACAAAACAAGAATAAACTGAACCTAACAACTAAGAGAATATGGAGAAAAAAGAAGGAAAAGTAAAAGTTGAGAAGTTAGAAGAAGGAGATCAGTGAAAGTTAGTTGACATGAAACAGACTTGCCAAAATAGGGAGAAAAAAACTGATCCAGCCACTTTTATCTTTCTCAACTTTTTGGCAATGCTGCATACATTTTCTTACTTTGCCCCTTCCTGAGGAGATAGAATTTCTTCTCAATTAGCTGATAATATTTTACATACTTCAGAAAAAATTAAAGATTGGCTTTTGGAGTTTCTTAAGTAAGTATAGGAAACTCATTTCATCCATCAAGCCTCATATGCTAGCACATAGTAGGTGCTTATTAAATGACTGTCGAATGTACAGGGCAACATTTTGCTCTAGAAAGTGGGAAAATGTTATTTGTTTATTTTAGCAAGTGTGCTTTTGGTTCAAGTATCTATGGCTTTGTCTTAACTTTATGGCATTCTATGATCAATTTTTATAGTTTAAAATATTTGAAAAGTTAAGGTTCTCAACTGTCAGAATTCTCTTAATATTTAAAAACAAATTTGCCTTTTGTACTCTTTCTTTTTCTTTTTTCTTTTTTTTTTTTTTTTTTTTTTTTTTTTTTTTTTTTTTTTTTTTGAGACAGGGTATTACTTTGTTACCCAGGCTACAGTGCAGTGGCACAATCTCGGCTCACTGCAACCTCCGCTCCTGGATTCAAGCAATTCTCTGTGCCTCAGCCTCCAAGTAGTCGGGACTACAGGCCCCCACCAACACACCTAGCTAATTTTTGCATTTTTTGTACCAGCCATGTTGCCCAGCTGGTGTTGAACTCCTGAGTTCAAGCAATCTACCTACCTTGGCCTCCGTAAGTGCTGGGATTATAGGTGTAAGCCACCGAGACTGGCTGTCTCTTAACTTTATACTAGCCAACAGTATCCATCGACTGTACCATATAAATTGTTTCTCATAGACCTAATCGTGTGCTCAGATATATGCCTTTACTTAATATGAATTAATTCCAGCTAGTACATTTTTATCATCATAGAATAGTCCCAAGATAATAGTTTAGTAAGAATCACTTGCACATCAGGGAACAGAATTTATAAAATAACTTTATTTAGTCTTTAAAAATTTACTTTTGAAGAGGAAAATAACTTTTTAAAAAATAATGCAAATCCAAGAAACAGTAAGATTATTAGAGCCACAGTAACACAACCTAAACATAAGTAAAATTATTAGATTCATAACCAGAGGAATAAAGGATCGATTTATACTCTCCAATTTCCAAAGTTGTTAGACTGCCTCATTTTATGAGGTTGATTTTCCTGGAAATGCATCTAATGAGGATTCCTTCTAAAATATTTTGGCTATTTCAGATTCATATGCACGGGAACAACTACAAACAAAGCTTGCTTCAGCATTTCCCAGACATTCTTCCTCTGGAATATGGTGGTGAAGAATTCTCCATGGAGGATATTTGTCAGGAATGGACAAATTTTATAATGAAGTCTGAAGGTTATCTCAGCAGCATTTCTGAGAGCATTCAGTGAGATGTTATTACATGTGAATGGTTTCCTAATTAAAAATACATGAGCGATATCCTACCTGGTTAAATGAATGAAAGAAAAGGAGCAAATCTTTTTTTTTTTTTGAGACGGAGTTTGGCTCTTGTTACCCAGGCTGGAGTGCAATGGTGTGATCTCGGCTCACCGCAACCTCCACCTCCCAGGTTCAGGCAATTCTCCTGCCTCAGCCTCCTGAGTAGCTGGGATTACAGGCACGTGCCACCATGCCCAGCTAATTTTTTTTGTATTTTTAGTAGAGACGGGGTTTCACCATGTTGATCAGGATGGTCTTGATCTCTTGACCTCATGATCCACCCGCCTCGGCCTCCCAAAGTGCTGGGATTACAGGCGTTAGCCAGCGCGCCCGGCCTAGGAGCAAATCTTTTAAACTAATGCTTGTGTGATCTTTAAAAATGTAGAAATCTTCTGACATGAGCAGCCCTCTGTATACCATGGGCATTTGGAAAGATTTTTTTACTTTTTAAATGCTTCCTTTTCTCTATTTTTGAAGTAATTAAATGTCAGTACACCTAAGAGCATAAAAATTGGTGATGTTATACTTGAAGAAAACATGAAAGTTATTACTAAAGTAGCTGTTCATGTGCATCTTTGTATGTTTCTAGAGAATTATATTTTAAACAAGTTCTCTGATTATATTGATTTAGAAATAAATTTAGAAATGTGCCACTTAAAAGTATTAGCACAAATCAGCTGATGACAAAAAATTAATGCTTACTTTAAGTGGATGTCAGATTAAATTATAATTCATTGTAATTAAAATCTGAATATAGTTTCATAGTTATTTCTGTGGGCCAGCAAGACATTTCATCTCAGGGAAATTTTATTTTACTTTAGTACATTCACACGATAGAGACTTTTTTTTTTTTTTTTTTTTTTCTGGCAGAGTCTGACTTTGTTGCCCAGACAGTGGCACAATCTTGGCTCACTGCAGCCTCTGCTGGGATTACAGGTGCGTGCCACCACACCTGGTTAAGTTTTGTATTTTTTATAGAGTCAGGGTTTAGCCATGTTGGCCAAGCTGGCTAAACTTCTGAACTCCAGTAATTTGCCTGCTTTGGCCTCCCAAAGTAGTGGGAATACAGTTGTGAGCCAACGAGTCGGGCCATGATAGAAACTTTCAATTAAGGAGTCTGTATGCCATAGTACTGCATATAGCAGCTTTAAGTCTTTATGAAATCATTCATGTTGATGTAATTGATTAACAAAAATAATTTAGAAAATACATCAGGCACAGTTGATGGCTTCTCAATCCCTCTTTTGCATTTTTAAACAAATAAAGAATGTAATTTTAACTTTTGCTTATGGTTATTCTTATGACTAAATAGAAAGGAATGGAATCATATTTAGTTGTCTTATACATGGACTGTTTTTAGTTAACAATAACGTAACTAGACAAAGAAAAGGAAATGTTTACATTTTAAAAAAATTACTGTCAATTACATCTGTTATTCTTCAGATTATCCATAAAATAATATGAGTTTGGTTATTATATTAGAGTATTCTAACCAAATCCTGAAAGTCTTATTAACTTAAAAAACATCTGGTAAAGGCTGGGCATCGTGGCTCACACCTGTAATCCCAATACTTTGGGAGGCTGAGGCAGGATGATAACTTGAGCACAGGAGTTCTAGCCCAGTCTGGGCAACACAGGGAGACCCTGTCTCTATTTCAAAAAATAAAAATAAAAATAACTGGTAAAGATGTACTCTTTGCACTGTACTTTATAACATTTCATTTATTAAGAAAGATATCATCTCAGCTTTCATATTCAACATAGCTCTCAATTTATGACATAATTTTTATACTTAGTATTTTATCATTTCTTAATTTTATTATAAACTTGAAAATGAAAGAATATGGGGTCCGAAATCTGTTGAACATTTGTTCAGCTAGTTAGGTTTTCTACATTAATCATATAAATTAATAGTACCTTTATGCAAGGATATATGAAGGGTGTTTTTCTTTATAAGAAAATTAGTTTAATCAGGTGAGCTGATACTTATGATTGTACATATTTCTATGATAAAACTGAGAGTAATTGTGGATGTTCCTTAGAGAACATGTTTTGATTTTGACTTAGCATTGGGAAGCTAACAACATTATAATTTTTATTAAAAAATTAGACTCTTCCAGTTGTCTAAAATGTGCTTTGAGGTCTTAAAATAAAATAATACTATTTACAATTGTATAATTTAAAATAATAAAAGAACAAACCCACTTTAAAAGAATAAACAGTATCAATAACAAAAAAACCTCTGGCTTACCCAACTTTTGTTCTTAGAAGTTTTATATCACCAGTTCCACTTCATTTATTTTTGGCTATTTCAAACACTTTCTTATGACTGCGTAGAGGAGTGATTAGTAACTAGATAAAGGATAACATTTTAAAATGTCTTTTAAATGTGGTTTATAGGTGATAGGATCAATGATAAATAGAATTAAGATGTCAATTAATTTAGTATATTTTATAATGGAATTTTGAAATGTTTATAAATGAAGCAATTCACTGAAGAACATTGAAAGAAAATTGAAATGAATGGGCAAATAAATAAAGTGTCAAAGCGAATAATTGTCTAATTGTCTATGTTACTTTACTGTGATTATTCCAGAAGTGCCTTTTGAAAGGTTAACTGTATTATGTGCTCATTGTGTTACTGAACTGCACAATGATTTATTTGTTTTAATATTGTTTGAAAGAAAATAAACATCTTTCACATAAAACATAATATACAAGGTTTTTTCATAAATTTTAAAATATAAATATGAAGCATTCTTTTTTAAAAACTGCCTTTCCTCATAGAAAAAAAAGTTAAAAACAATCTTAACACATTTACTTTTCCATTACACAAGTGCCAGTTTATTCTTTGTAAGTTTAATGACAGGCTGGTATCCCAGCTGCTTAGTTCAATACCATCTTTCTCTAATGTCTTCTGCCATACATAAAGGGGACCACAAACTAATTATTAAGCCAGGGATAGTCAAGAAGTTAAAATTTTTAAGTGAAAAATGCCATAGTGTGACACTTAATCAGATAATTTTATTTTCTTTGTATAGTTTATTTTAATTTATTATATTTATATTTAATTTTATTTTCTTATATTTTCTTTTTTTTTTTTAGAGCAGTTTTAGGTTCTCAGCAAAATTGAACACATGCAAGATAGATCTATTTAATTTTGAAACAATATGCTATTAGCCTAGATCATGATTCCTTTTGTCAAACTAGATTTTTCTTACAGAAATGGCACTGACGTCCTATTGCAAATATCTTTGCCAATCACCTAAATTAAGACTGCAGATCATAGAACAGGTTAGATATATAACTAAGAACTCCAGCCAGTTAGTCAGATGGTGTTGTGTGAAACACTCCTTACTGTAATGGATTTTGCCATACCTAGATGCTGTAGAGGAACTAGAAATGAAAGCAATAAAATTAGGATTGGCAGCAGTACAACCCTGTGACTTTTCTGGTTAGTAAAGGCATATACCATTCTCTTCCCACACCCATACCTAGCACTCAATTGATTGTTCTCTTCTCTCTCTGAGGCAATCATATCAATATGTTAAATATCTACTTTTGATAACACTGTAGACTGAGTTAAGTACTACAGTAAATAGGAAAATTAATCATACCTGGGAGAAAGAAAAATATATTCCAAATAGCTAGTTGAAGTGCAGTATATTGTAAGGGCCATTAAAGTGACTCTAATAAAGTGCTTTGGGAGTTTAGCAGAAGGAAAGATAATTTCCACATGGGATACTGAGAATGTGTTCTTAAAAGAGGTATTATTTGAAGCAAAGCCCTTAAGACAGCAATGAAAACTGAGGAGAAGGACACTTAAAGACAATAAATAGTATTAGCAAAGACTTAGAGATCAGAAAGAGTAAGGCATGTCCGAGAAATGCTAAATATACCTGCATTTTTATGGCATGAGTTGTAATGTCTTCTTTTTCATTTCTGATATTTATTTGGGTTTTCTCTTTTGTTCTTAGTCTAGCTAATGTTTTGTCAGTTTTGCTTACCTTTTCAAAAAGCCAACTTCTCATTTCATTGATCTTTTGTATTTTTTTTGTTCTTTATTTCATTTATTTCTGCTCTGACTTTTATTATTTCTTTCTACTAATTTTAAGTTTTGTTTATTGTTGCTTTTCTAGTTCTTTAGGGTGCATCATTGGGTTATTTATTTGATATTTAAAGGGACAGATAGACCCCAATATAGTAATAGTTGGGGACTTCAACACTCTATTCATAGCATTGGACAGATTATCTAGACAGAAAATCAACAAAGAAAACATGGGATTTAAGCTGCACTTTAGAGCAAATGGTCTTAATAGACATATGCTAAACACATCATTCAACAGCTGCAGAATATATATTCTGATCAGCATATAGAACTTTTTCCAGGATATACCGTATGTTATGCCACAAAACAAATCTCAACAAATTTTTAAAAATCACACTAAGTCTCTTTTCAGCCCACGATGGAACAAAACTAGAAATGAGTCAAACACATACACACAATCCTTTGGAAACTGACAAATACATGGAAATTAAACATGTTCCTGAATGACCTATGAGTTAATGAGGAAATTAAGAGGGATATTTAGAAATTTCTTGAAACAAATGAAAATAGAAACACAACACGCCAAAATATGTGAGATATAGCAAAAGTAGTGCCAACAGGGAAATTTACAAGCAGAAATACCTACATCAAAAAAGCTCTCTATTTTTGGGGAAAAGGGGTACGTACAGGAGAGTGGTTTGTTTGCCTAGAAAGATATATGTGAATCAAATTATAAGCAGCCTTGAACATCAGCTGAAGGGCACTAAGGTATATGAATTACTTATGTGCCAGGGACTATATTAGATATACACACATGACATCATTTCATCTTTGCAAAAAAAAAAAGAAAAAAAAGGTTAAGTGGCATTAGACCCGTTTGTACATCCTTTGCTCAGAATCATGGAGCTTTGTAAGGCAGAATCAGGCTGAACTCAACTCTCCTAGCTACAAGGTCCACATATTCCACAACACTACCATG